CCCCCCCCGGCCCGGGAAGGACCGGACCCGAGCCGGCCGGGCCCCCCGGGGCCCCCCCGGGAAGGCCCCCCCCAGCCCAGAAAGGGCCAGGAAAGGGGGGGGGGGGTTTTGCCCCGGTGGGGTCCCAGGGCCAACCGGGGGGGGGGGGGGGGGGGCAGCTCGAGTCTCAGCCGAAACCGCCGCGAATTTCGCCTTTGTGCAGCCGTAAGACGTCCGCTGCAGCTCGAGTCTCAGCCTCCGAAGGTGTGGCTAAACTCCACGAAACAACGCTGCCCACCCGGGAACAAGAAAATGCATCTCAAAAACAGCTACGCGTGCAAAAACATGACGATCAAAAGAAACTACAGCAGTGTCTAGTACACCGAGCCCGCAAGAGGTCAAACCAGAAGAAAACGTCCAGAAAAATCCCAGATACTTCAACGAACAATACAGTAGTACCCTTCGCAGTTTTTTTGTATTCAGCAAACATGTTGGATAAAGCATACAATCGGGGAAGTTGGGTTAGGGTTAGGGCTAGGGTTAGGGAATACGGTCTGCGTACCCCCTTCCTGTTCAATTTCTCCATAAACTTTTCTATCGCGCGAAGGCGGTCCGAACAAGAAGACCATGGAGCAGAGATCTAGAACCAAGAGGCGAGGCGACCGTCAAGCAGCTATTTAGCTCGGTGCTTTCCAGCAAACTTCTCGGGCATACGTCCGCAGCCTGTGGCTACCTTTGCCGCCGCGTTGAAGCCATCGTAGTTGGCCATGTAGACCTCGCCCGCCCCTCCCGAGCCGATAACGAGGTCCCGGACTATCTCGATCGACCCTTGGGGGATCTCTTCCTCCTCGATGAGTCTTTCTAGATGCTGTTGCCTTCTGAGGCGCTTGTCCTGGTGGTTGGTTGGTTGTTTTTCCCCGGCAGCACGGGGAGGGAGGGAGAGGGAGGGAGAGGGAGGGAGAGGGAGGGAGAGGGAGGGAGAGGGAGGGAGACAGACAGGTCACAGACAAGGACGGACAGGCAGATGGTTTTTAACGACAAGAGAACGCAACACTTTCGAGTGGTACAGTACATCGATACAATCAACGACGATGCCAGAAGGCGAGAGACATTGGCAGGGACAGCAACAAGGGAGACAGAGCGGTCGGTGTAGGCAACGAAAAACGGATAAATAGCACTCTTTTGCTGGCCGGCATGCCTTGTGCGCTCTCTTACCGTGACATGATTCGCCAGCTCGGCCCTGACTTTCTGTATCTCGGACAAGGACGTCGCGTTGACGTACGACTGCAAGACAGGAAAAAAAAAACACAAACGTACGCGACAAACAGGTCGGGCGGGGGGTTACGGCGCACGGCAGCGGCCCCCTCCCGTCGGTCAAGGCGGGACGCCCGCCTCACTAACACGGCCACGATATATACCGGCAAGAGCAAAGGCGATACTTTATTGCCAAGGCGGGCTTGTCTGCTCTCGAGGAGACCAACGACGGCTGGAAAGCGCACGCGGACGGCGGCAGAAAAAAACGTGGACCAATCACCGCACACAAGCAGCGGGCCACAAGCAGCGGGCCAATCAATCAGAGAGCGCCTCAGCTATATATGCCAAAAATTCAGGGCAGACAGAACATGCGCACGACGGTGCCTTAAGCCATGCATGGGAGGACCCGCTGAGCGATTGCGCGAAAAACATTGTTCGCCAACAAGGGGGGCACCAGAAACGAAACTTCAAGGCCTCACGTTGAAGTACTCCAGCATTCTCCGGACCGAAGCGTCCGCTTCCTCCACCCGCGTGCGGTACATGCTTGCGGTCCACATCCTCCCCAGCCTGGTCTTCCGCTGGTTCGGACGAACGCATTTGTTTTCCGCGCAAAACGAGGAGAAGCGATTGTGAGGACGGCGTAAGTTATATGCAAAGAATTAGACTGCTGAAACGTCGGCCTAACCCATGAAGCCTAAAAAAATCCAAAAGTTGAGGCGCTTGACCATAAGAACAGGTGTTCAGTCAAGAAGTCTACACTAAAACCACTAAAACCTATACAGTACACTAAAACCTAGATAGTCATACTAAAACCAATAAGTCGCCGTGGGTGTTGTACCCCATTCGAGACAAAAACAAGAAGCGAGCCTCGGGCGAATTAAGAGGTTCTTAGGTGGTGGCACGTTTTGTACTCGAGACCTCGACACGCGACGGAAGCAACCGCGCGTTCGCCTACCTTGTAAACCTCGATGATGTCGATGACGGCGTCTAACTGTTCCTGGACGCCTTCCAGCAGCCTACGGCCCGTTTCGCGGTGGGTCTCCGTCGCTGAATCCTGCACACCGTGTACCATCACCAAACAAGGCGATAGGGAGAGTTCAACAACAAAAAATCCGCCCGGGTGCATTGGTTTAGAGAGACCACGACTTCTCAGCGACAACAACAACAACAACACCAACAACAGCAGCAGCAGCAGCAGCAAACAACAAGGAGCACTCAGCAATCGGTGCACGGCGCTAGAGCGCAGCGTGGCTGGGCCACGTCTCCGGCAAGGGGGCCTCTACTGCTGCTGCTGCTGCTGCTGCTGCTGCTGCTGCTGCCGTTTCTTTCTTGCTCTGTCCACAAGTGTGTTGGTGGGACCCCCACCGCCTGTGCTATTCCAATTGTCATACCCGTCATCGCACGCTAGCGCAGGTACGATGGGATGGGAGCTTGAATAAAAAGGTGGCTATAGTTTGGGTAGTTGGTCTATGACCACGGACGGCGTCCCGGGTCAGTTGGACAGGGACAGGGCCGGCTTTTTTATGTCAAATGTCAAGACACCACCACCACCACCAGCAACAGCAACATCGACAATACCACCGGCACCAACAACAACGACAACAACACATACCTCAGTAATGCTCTCGAGAAACTTAGCGAGGTTGGAGCACAGCTGGAGGCTCGTGTCGAACGCAGCCGTGATCCCATCGTTGTCCGCCTTCAGCGTCACGAGTGTCTCCACGAACATGGCAACCTGCGTCAATTCATTTCATTGATAAGAAAGTGCGGTATATAGAGACAATCGCCGAGAGCAAGTCCGGGAGATATCGTGCAAAACAACCAAGGTCAGATCGTCACCAGGACGGGGTAGTAGTAGGAGCCAGCCCCTCTAGGCGGTGTCGGCCTCACCTCCGGCACACCGGTGATCGAAGAGTTCTGTGCCGCACGGGCGGCCTTCTTCAAACCCGTCATGATCGACATGCGCCTTTCGCCGGCGCTTGTGCCGCCGCCGCTTCCGCCGCCGCCGCTTCTCCTTCCGTCCTTGTCGCGATCGTCGAGAGAGGACGATGCGTCATCGGCTTGGTAGTACGGCGGCCGCTCACCGTTTTCCACACCGTATGCACGGACGCCGGTGGTCCGGGCACCGTCGAGGGTGTTTTGCCGGGTTACTTCCTCGGACCTGTGGGCAACCCCGGCCGGTCGACACGAACATGAAGATGAGACAAAACACACCAAACACGAAGCCGGGCGAGAATATTGCACGGCCGCGCGGTTAGTTCGACGCCTCGGTATCCGGTCGTTGAAGCAGCCGCTCTTGCTAGTTCATGGCGGAGGCGGGATGGCTTAAGGAAAAGGGACACTATTGGACAAGAGCTTCAACGAAGGGAAGGCGACACGGTTAGACCGCGCTCGCGATATATGTACGCATGCACTTTTCGTACGTGCACGGGGCTTGCCGCACCCACCGTACGAAAGGCTATGTCAGATCTGCGCACATCTCTCGAGACCGTTACGCAATGGCATGCACCGCCTCCGGCGCAAAACAGGCGAGCAGAGATGCACGTACGTATTACGCCGGGCGAACAGCCCGCCGAAATCGCAAGGGGCAAATCTCGTAGGGGAGCGACGGCAGGCTTGCGCCCGCTACCGATATCGCAAGGCAGACGATGCGAACACCGCGAGCTGGGGTTACAAAAAGAGACAACACAAAGGATAGCGCTTCCGCACTCAAGAACCTCTAGCTTTGGTCGAGGCGTTTTTTTTTTGTTCCCAGGGTTATGCTACATACAAATGGCCGCGATATGGGTTTTGTTGTAGGGCTTCTTAACCGAGCGCACAAAAAAAAAAAGTGCTACAAGTGATCAGATTTTCATTTTTTTCAAGGCTATATATATTCGTAGAGGTGGTTGTGATTCATATCGAGAGGCGCCAACGCCTTCCAAGTTCGTTGACGAGCGGAATGCCGCGCAGGTGACGTCAAACCTCCCTGTGACCTGTGACCAGGGCGACTTTTTTCAAAATCCTTTCTATGTTGGTGATTGGTATCGAGACTCGATCCCGCGAACATACAGATCACAGGCACGGTACCCTCCGCCCCACCGGGGCAGCAAATACGCGCATCATTCGCCTCCCACGAGTGGTTGACTTAATAAAGAATAACGTTGTTGTAGGTTATTGTGTGACCCCGGGGATGTAATAAAACGAATGATCCCCAGGAAATGTTAATCATCCCCTCAGTCGAATCTCCAGAGATTTTTCTAATTTGTTCATTCCCCGATCCGTTTTTTTTCTTGTCCCCTCCCAGGCCTCGCGGATGTGTTTCTGTTTTTTCCTGAATTACGGGCAAACAAAATCTAAAACCAACCGAACTATGTGGCTGTCTTTTGTGCCTACCTGTCTTTTGCGGAAAGGAGTCGTTCTATATATACCACCAGAAAGGTCTAGCAGAATTTTCTGCATGGTGGAACAGGTCGTCTGGTCTGTCTGACCGTCAGAACCATATTTACTCGTTTTTCGTATGTATGCTACAGCAAGCTGTAGCCTCTACTCTATACCGTAATTTACACTTCATACATGCCGCACACGCACCGCGCGCCTCCGGAAAGCGTCCATCAAAGCGTATTGTCGTACACAAAGTATATATACATGTAGTACGAGTACTCGATGCACGACGAGACAACTACTGCCCAAGTAGGGGGGGATACTTCCTTTCTATCTATCTATATGCAATGCATCATCGTATGCATAGCAAGAACAAAATATAAATAACATGTACGTGTGTGTTGCGTGGGCCCATAGACAAATCTTCCATACAAACACCGTATATGATAAACCAACAGCAGAAAATTTGCAGAAGAAAAACGCGAAGAGTTCAAGCACAATCTGCTGTCTGGTAACGCGCCGTCGTTACACACGCACACGCTCACACGACTGTGTACATACGCGTGCGTACACATGCAGCAAGGCGCGAAGTAGGAGATCAGGGTCATGAACAGCTTCTTCTTTCTCCAAATTTTGTCAAGACGAGACATCTTACTTCTTTCGTTTCGTGGATACATGTGCATACATATGTATATGCCATGCACAATAATCTATGTGTCGCCCCAGACCAAACCTTCCAGACAAACGCCGTATGCATATATATGTGCATGATAGAACAACAACAGCACAAAACAATGCAGACAAAAGCGAAAGAGTTCAAGCAGCATGCTGTTTGGTATGATACGCTGTCGTTACGCCAACACGCACTCACAACACTGCTGCTGTGTATAGGCTACTGCTGCTACAGTATACGCCATATAAATACGTGAACATACGTACAATAAATGCATGCTACGCGCGCCTCCACAAAGAATGGCGGGCACGAAAGCGCTGTAGTGTCACGTGTATTATGCGCCAGCAAAGAAAGATGAACGTTAAGCTGTGAGGTCGCAGAGAGACGTTTGTTTGTTTATTACGAACAAAAAAGAGATGACTCGGAACATTTTGGAACCACAACGCCCGCCCATGATGTAAATTGGGGCGTTCTACATGAACATTTGCGGCAGGGGGGCGTTCTAGTCTATATCGATTTTTTTACTGCAAGTGCGGGTGCTAACTGCAAGGTTAGGCGAGGGTCGCGCGCCCCGCGCGCCTGCTGAAACCCCAAAGTGCGCGCCGAGCTTCTGTGTCCCCATTTCGGGGGCAACCGCTGTGGCTCGAAAAGAAAGTATACCCCTTTGAACAGTTGTCGAAAACACGAAAAACACCCGTAAATCATGACAAGTGTTCGCCGGAACCAAGTGTACCCATGAAATATTCCATATTCCAAACGAGGGTGACACGCGGTTGGCTTCGGCAGCGTCTCTCCGCAACCAAACATTTCCATTTTCCAAACGAGGGTAACGCGGGTTGGCACCGACGGCGTCTGTCTCTCCCCACCAAACATTCCATATTCCAAACGAGGGTAACGCGGGATACCACCTTCTCGCTCACCTGCACCGGCCGACCTGCTGCGTCCTCCGCGCCCTTGCTACCTTGGTGCCCCCCCCCACAGAGGCGCTATGGTGTAGCCACGGCGTACCGGGAGGGTCGGCCAGTCCCGACGACGACCCGTGGTCCTCGTCACGGTAATACATTTCCAGAAAACGGTGTTGGCTGGCTTCAAATAGGACACCGATCTCGATGTCCGCGGCGGGGGCGGGGCCGGTAGCGGGTGAGCCGAGCTGGACTCCCGTGGGGGAGTCGGGCGGCGCGACGCCCGGAGGCAACTCCTCTCCGAGGCGGCGACGGGGCGAGCCGAGCTGCACCTCGACATCGGGGAGGGGATGTTTCGGTGCGAGGGCCGGCACGAGCTCCGTGGTGAGGATGCTGCTGACGGCGCCGTCGGAGTCCTCGCTCATGCTCCTGATGGTCCTCTCGTCCGACGGGCAGGTTCTAGGAATACGGGCTCCGTTTTCTTTCACCGAGAAACGAGCGCCCCCCCCCCCGCCGCCGGCGACGTCTCCGCAATGCAGCGACCCCGGTGCAGCCGTGGCGTCAACCACGTTCGTGTCGGGAGTTACCTCTTCTGTCCCGTCGGGGTCGTCGCTGCCACCACCTTGCTCTTCTTTCCTCCGTCTGCGCCAGGACCAGCAGCCCTTGCACACCCAGCACACCGAGCACACGAACACCAGCGCCCCGACCACCGCACCGGCGACCATGGCGGGGTCGGCATCATCGCCGCCGGCGTCGCCGTCCCCACCGCCGGGGGTCGAGAGCGCGCCGTCCGCCGGTGTCCCCGAAGCAGACGTAGGCGACGGCGTAGCGGCGGCGGGAGTCGCCAGTGCCGTCGGTCCGGGGGTCGTCGGCGCACGTGACGGTGAGAGGCTTGGGGATGCTGCGGCAGGGTTTAGGAGAGGCGGAGCGTCGCGTGAACGAAAGCGAATTTGTTTTGGGGGATGGGTGCAACGATTGGAAGCGTCAAAACTTCCCGTGGGGCGTGGCGCAAACGCCACGCTGCTGTCGACAGTAGTGTTGTGGCAGCACAGCCGTTGTTGCTGTGCGTGACCCTTTTTGTCGGGCTGGGGTATGACTGGGTGCATAACTGCGGTGAGGGGCATCATGTATTAACCCAATTTTGCATGATCTGAGAGCATCTTGAACGTGGGGCTCATGTAGACCAGTGAACGCACTCCCACCGGGTGCGGAATAGTGCGAGGTGTGACATAGCTATCGTGGGAATGGCATCTCGCTGTGGCATGCATGCGGTTACGTTGCTATTGTCGGCGATCTACACCTTCACTTGACCGTGCCAATGTCAAGAAAACCAGAGCGTTGGCCGAACGCAACTGGGCGGCAACCCGTTTCCAACCGGACAGTTGGAGCACAACTCTCTCATCCCTGCGCCAAACGAGCGCTGCGAATACACTCGCACACCGGCGGAGAGCAAAAACGAACATCACCCCCCCCCCCCTCTAAGCGTGGTCGGAGTCAGAGGGTAAACGTAACAAAAGGCCGCCAACATGGCGGGGTGTTTGAGAAACGGAGAGCAAAACAAGCATCAGGCCAAGAGCTCCGCGTGTTCAGCACACACAAAAAGAACCAAACCGCCGCGCCTCGAGACCAGAGCTTGAGAAACGACGAGAAGGTGAGGAGAGGGGGGCAAGAACAACGGACCGACCTAGCGAGGATATCGTTACTGCTAATCTACGAAACAGAGAGGTGGGAATCGTATCCCTATCCCTTATCCTTATCCCCCAAGCCATCCCGTATCCCCAACAGTACCAAATCCAAGCCTAACGATACCCTCGCGAAGGGCACTGAACGGCATGTGTGTTTGTGCGGACAGAACAGGAACGATCAACTCAAGATCGCTTTCACCTGTGGTCGGCGTCGGCGTAGCGATCGTCGGGGCAGGTGTCGGCACCGGTGTCGCGGGTGCTGGGGTTGGGTATGGGGGCGCCGTGGAATCGTCCGCTGCACAAAAAACAAAACACACCGCCGGTTTAGCAAGCGCATGCGTCGGGACGTAGGAAGACAAACAAACGGGGCGTAACGAGACAAGGATGGACGGCAAAATAAGACCAGTTTCCAGCCGGTTTCCTTCTACTCACTGCGAAGACTTCAGCACATACATGCCTTCGATTGCTGCGGTGGCAATGTCTCGAACGGGTATTTAGTCTTTCTGTGTCAGGAACATTTCCAAAAAAGGGCGGGTACAGCTAGCTGCCACGGTGCCCACAAGACGCGGGGTCATCGTTACCAGACAATCGACTTCAGAAAACACGTCATAAAAAGCCGACCCGATATCAGCGCAACGGAGGCGATGCCAGCGGCAAAATTTACAAAACAGAAGCGACGCCAAAGACAACCAGCACTCGCAGATAGCCAGCAGAGGGATTAGCGGCCCGCAAACAACCAGCAGCCAGCCTTCCTCGCGCCGAACACTAGCCAGCGCCATTGCGCCTTAAATGCATGACCCAAAAGCTTTCGACCACGAGCCGACAAGCTTCGCGGGCAACTAAATGCTCGCAGGAAAACCGAGGTGTAATCCATGGAATGCAGCCTAAAAGCTTCGCGGGCAAATAAATGATAACAGAAAAACCGTCGTGCAACCCACGGCGTGCTCGACGTCCCGTCGAAACCCTCGCCGCTAAGAAATCTCACCTCTTTGCTCGTAGCCGTCAACAAAGTTCCCGTCCAATAGGAGAGTCGACACCTGTTCCAGACCTTCGGGGGCTTCCCCTGACAGAGGGTTTTTGAAGGGGCGCGCACGAGGTGTGTTTGTGTTTTTGTTTCCGGCCGATCTCTAAAGTGTGTTTGGAGGCTTACACAAACAGACTCGAATACGCCCAGCATCCGGAATCGTCATATGGAGGCGTGCTGCAGAGACGAAAAAAATTGTCAACAGTGCTGAAAAAGATTTGAACGCCGTATTTCCAACGGGTGAGTCTTGTAGCTATGTCTCGGAGGAAAGACAAGGCTCGAACCCACCAAGAAACGGTGCCCAGGCAAACGAATTCAGTAATGCCCCGCCACTCGGTGCACTTCTCAAAAAGCAGGAGCGTGTTGCTTCCGCTTCGCAACGGCCGAGGGACGTTCGGTGGGGGTCAAACGGCCACACACGAAACAATGGAACCCAGCGACAAGAACAAGAACAATACAGAAGAAGAAGAAGAAGAAGAAGAAGAAGAGAAGGAAAGAGCAAGAAGAAGAGCAAGGAAACCTGAGCAACAACAACCACCAAATCCACCACCAACCTGTCAAGTAGTTGTTCCTAAGATCCACCGCTTGAAGCTCCCCGCCCTCGGCAAGCGTCCCCAGCTCTGCCGGGATGTCCCCTGAGCCAAACAAGCTTCAATCAACGCATACAATGCTTCCGTTCAGCCGAACTTTGCAAACCGGGGGGGGGGGGGGGGGGGGGGCGACAACCCCAACCCCTACGATGGTGCGCAGGCCCGGTTCGATGCAGAGAAAGCAAAAAAACACACCGAAAATCAAGAATTATCCGTACGTGATATACGCCAGATACCGCGCCCCCGTGAACCAATGTTTCACAGCTCAATTTCTGCGCAGCTTGGCAGCGCCGAAAACGGCGGCGTTGAAGCCGCTCGTCGAGAGCTTCCCGAAAACGTGTTATCATCCTGTTCGTCGTGGAGTAATCCAGTCTTGAAAATCGGTCCAGGAGGTGTGGTATCTTGCGTCACATCTCCTACGGTGTTTCTCCTCCTAAGGTGCGTCGTGACAACCCTCTTCCCTTCCTTGACATTCTTCAGGAGATCTTCCGAACATCTCCCGGAGATCAAACGGAGATCACATTCACAGCAGCGGTACAAACCACATTTCGCCGGATCGAAAAATCGGTTTCCGCGTTTCAAAAAACGCAACCCGTTCCCGTCAAACCCTAAATGTGGAACACCGCTACAAGCCAAAAAAAAATGCACCAAAGGAGGTTTCCTGACCTGTCAGGCTGTTGTCTTCCATGTACAGGGCCTTCAACGACACCAAGCCGCCAAATTCCGGGGGGATCGGACCTGTGCGCGCGCCCGCGAGGCAAACATGCACAATAGGGGCAAAATCGTCGGAAGAACGCGTCGAGCGACAGCATCGAAAGTTGGAAACGTTCGACCACAGAAAGAGAGAGAGGGAGGGAGAGAGAGAGAACGAGACAGACAGGCAGACAGACAGACAGACAGACGACAGAGAGAGAGATAGACAGACAGGACGGGCAGAATGGAAAATGCCGACTTGCTTGGATTTCGCACACGCTAGCTAGTCTTTTCAGGGGGCACAATGAAAGCCCGAGAGTGGTGAAACCGTACTTCTAGCGTGTCGGTCTGCACGCTACCAAGGAGGACACCATAGGGTTTCACTGTTCACTGCAACACCCAAGAACACACGCATTGATTTCAAAAATACAGAACGCGCCACCACCTCAGCAGTGAAAAACTTGACCCTAAAATATCTCCAAAACTTAAGAAATTGGCCATAAGAACAGTACTCAAGTCAAGAAGCCTACATTAAAACCTATATAGTACACTAAAACCTTAATAGTCACACTTGAACCTACTAAAACCTATATAGTCACACTAAAATCTATTCGTCGCCGTGGGGGTAGTACCCCATTCGAGGCAAAACAAGAAGCGAGCCTCAGCCAAAAAAAAGAGGTTCTTGAGGGGTGGCGCGATCTGTACCAGGAGAGAGGCACAACGCAGACCATACCACTAACCCAACTTCCCCCGATTGCATTCATTATCCAACATGTTTACTCGATAGAACCCCCCCCTGCGAAAGGCTACTGACCTATCAACCCTGTGTTGCCGGAGAGGTCCAGCTGTGTCAGCGACGCCAGGTTGCCCAGCTCGGGAGGAATTATGTCTGCGGAACAGGAGACGACCAGGCACCGGGGTTAGAAGGAGGGGGAGAGGTCGTGTGCGAGAGGGTCGCGGCTAGGGTGGAGGTAAGGGGGTCAACACACACTTCGTGCGAACAGGCATACAGATAAAGAGGCGTTTCTCTCCGTGGCATCTGTCGTATCGGTGACGGCAATCAACAACCACAGCTGTGGCAGACACAGCAGCATCATCATCATCATCATCATCAGCAGCAGCAGCAGCAGCAACTTCAACGCCATCAACAACAGCACAAGGAGCAACAGCAGCAGCAACAACAACAACCTTCCACATCACCACCGTCAAGAATAGCGCCGTCCTCACCACCACCACCACCACCAACAACAACAACAACACCGGCGAAGAGACGACCAGGGGAACTGCTACGGTGAAAATGAAACGAATAATTCGAACTCGGCAGGAAACAAAAAAAATGCCTCACCTTCCAAGGCGTTGTCCTGCAGATACAGTATGCCCACTTGTGCCATACCCCCTAGCTCCGATGGGATTTTTCCTGCAACAAGAAGCCAGCAACGGAGAAACAGAAAGCAGCAAGAAAAAAGAAGGTGCCGGCACATTCTGTGAAAAATGAAACATACAACAGCAGATAAACAAGACTTGCCGGACAATGACACGTAAGATGATCAAACACCCGGGTGCCTTGCGTTACAACCACGCTTGCGCAATTTTTTTTATCGGAAACGCTTGTTGCAAAACGTCCCTTCCTCTCAAATACCAAGTAAAAAAAATCGACACGGAAAAAAACATCCCTGGCACCTGACAAAAGAACACGGGATGACGTGACGTCATCAAAGCCCAAGACACGAAAACGTCCCCTGTACTGTACCTGTGAGGGCGTTGCCCTGGAGATCCAGGCGAACGAGGGACGGAGCGCTTCCAAGCTCAGGAGGAATTTCTCCTGGAGGAGGAAAAAAAGAAAAAAGGAAAAAAGGAAAAAAGGGACGGAGCAACTTAAGAACGATCCTTGTTATAGCGGCATACCATGTCAGGGTAGTCATGCAGGACCAAAAACTCGAGTAGCGACAATTTTCCACGCACAACAGGACGCACAGAACACCTGTCGCCGGGAAAGGATGTAAATCCTAAGCAGAGCCCGTACGCAATATTGCACCACAAACGATGCGTACTGAAAAGAGCCAGGTTAATCTCGAGAGTGAAAAGAGGACAATTATACTGACGGCATGGAATTCCTTCTTAGACAAGCAACTAACCAACCGCGGGGGAAAGAAAAGTAAAAATGCATATGGACACGGCGCGAGACACAAGACAAGAGGAAAACCGCATTGAGGAGAACGAACACAAAATACGAAAATCAGAGCCGGTACAAACACGGAACAGGCACCGCACACACAAGGTCGATACATCGCGCGACAGGGCCGAGGGCGAAAGAAGGGAGGGGGCGTGCTGCACCGTGCGCTTCCGGCTCGACCTGCAGTAGCACCCTCGGTTCGCCCGTGTCGACAGATTTCGGGTTCTCTCAAAACGCGGCAGACGCGTCCTTGCAACGACGACACAAAAAAAAAATCATGCCCCCCCTGCTGCTCGGTTTACCTTCGAAGCCGTTATCGCTCAGGTCCAGAAGGGTAAGGCTGACCAGGTTCTCCAGGCCTGCCGGAAGCTCGCCTGTGCAATTCAATCCGTTACCACAGGTTGTTGGAAGATATAGGCGGCTGCAAGGGTCTCAAACTCCATGCACCTACAATACTCAATACTCATTCATGATGTTTCCAGGAGGGTTGTAGCGTGCAGATGAAGAGGAGGCCGTAAAGACATGACTCGCCGGGATGGGGAGGGCGAGGGATGAATCGATCATGCTTTGCATGAAATCTCTTGAGAGCGGGGTGTCAAACCGCCTCGCCTTTGTGGATGCTGATACTTTTTGCTGTCGTCGTTTCTCGTAACCGGCAGGAGTGATTTCATTGGTCACCCAGCCACAGACGCATGCGCGAAGACACACCGACACGGCAATGCCTAGGGTTGTTGTTGTTTTAGTTGTTGTCTTCACATTAAAAACCGTTCCGTTCTCTCTGCCCAGTACCTTCTTCTGTCCGTACTAGTCTAACAATTGACGGTAAAAAAAACAAAAAACAAGTGGCACCACTCTCCTGACTTGACAACAATTGGAGTCGTAAAGCATACCCGTGATGTCGTTGCCTCCGAGAGAGAGCTTCTGCAGGCCCAACAGCTGGCCGTACTCCACGGCCGGAAACGCGTCACCTGCCAGAGAAAAACCACACACACACGATCAAATTTCCACAAGAGCAGGAACAACAATCTCTACGCGTTCGACGCGTACATAGCCGCGCAAGCTCGTCGCAACTGCGAAGGAGAGTATGAATCAAACTCTGCTCTGTTGCCTGTAGTCACGGACGTGGATTATCTGCTGGCTGGATGAACAGCAGATACTCCGAGGTCCTACAATTAGCGACGGGAGCAGGTTGGCGTGAACACAGCAACAACACCCGCAACGAACTACTTCAACCCAATTCGATCGCGGTCATCGCTCTGTCATCACCAGAAGCTTCCACAAGAAACAAGCAAAACCTGAAAGTTTTATTTCCACCGCACCTCTGCCAAGGGAAGAAGAACACACATGCCATCCTTACGCACGCTTTTGACTAAACCCGATTCGATAGACGGAGGCCAAGAATACCGTAGGTTGCGCAAGATATCACCCCCCCCTGGACCGATGGTCAAAGCTCGAATACTCGGCGCAGGGAAAAAACAGCGACGGTGCCGGACACGGCGGCGACGGAACCGTCTCATTGAGAGATTTTCCGAAAAAGTGTCGTGTGATGTCGGCATCTCCTTTGTCGTGGAACAATAGAGAGGTTTTCGAATTCGGTTCAAAGGGAGTGTGGTATCTTGCGCAACGTACGGTTAGGCTCTCACCGACGAGGTGGTTGTCCCCGAGGCTGATCTCGTAGACGTATTCCGTTCCGTTCTCATCGGTCGCGACGGAAACTCCCTCCCACTCGCTAACGTCCACGCCGGAGACGGTCCAGTTGGCGTTGTCGTGCCAGTCGCTCCCTCCCAGGCTGGTGTACAGGATGCCGAGGTACTCCCGGTCTTCGTCCACGACATCCGCTGCCAGGCACGTACATACAAGTTCCCATGTTAGTCCGGGGGTCGGAGGCAAGACATATACACGCAAAGGCAGGCACCAAGACGTAGAAATAACGATTGCCAGGACGACGAAGCCCTTCAGGTAGCACCCGTACTTTCAAGAACTCGGTACCTCAGAACTTTTGGCTCAACATATACATCCAGACTATAATAAGAGCTTGAGCATGTGTGCGCCCGGCTAAAACCCTCAACACTAAAACCTCAGCAGCAGCCACTTGAAGCCCACGAGAGGAGCTAAGAATCCCAGCCCTGGCCAAAAATGGAGTCTCTAATGCGTTAGCGCGGACGCCATCGTAACTTCAGTACTATCAACATGCGGGCTGTGTAAAAATGACCTGGGTGCTAAAGTGTGCGCTACTGCTCGGGGTGGTCCCTGCCGAGGAAAAGCCTTAGCAGCAGCAGCAAGGCGAGTAAGAGAACAAAGCGGTTTGTCTACGGCGTGGCCCATCGAGGCCGGAGGCCCCTCACTGCGGGCACAGTGGCCAAAGGGACACATCCCCCCCGTGCGGCTCCTGTTTGTTTGTCTCGACAGAAAACAGCAGCAACACACGTTTCCATCAAAGCGGACGCTTACGTTTCCTACCCCAGCCCGGCTGACCGAGGGACGCAGGGGGGTCACACCACATCGTTCCCCATCGCCCGAGCCCGCGCGAAAACAGAATTGCCAACCAGAGAAGGCAAGGCTGCAACCACGAGTTTTACGTCAACAATTTTACGCATACAGCAGTTAGCGCTCACGTTAAAAGAAACTTCAACTTGGGGTCGAGGCTCAATATCGACTGCTGCCGAGCACAGGTCATCTTTAGCGAGTTGAGTCTAGCACGTACGGCTGAGGTGTTTTTATTGTTCTCGTTTTTCGCCAAGATCTGAGCCTTGGTTTCTTAAATGTGTGTTCCTCACACGTTTAGTCGCGGGCGCTAACTACAACTGCTGTAGCAGCAGCCGATCGAACCACAGCGGCGCCATGGAAAGCAACAACAAGAGGCCGACGTCGCCAACACCCCCGGCTGCTGCTACTCACCCTGGCCGAAGGCGACGGCGGCAAGAACGATGCTCAGCAACCGAAGCAGCCTCGCGAGGGTCGACCCCACGGGTGTGTCTCCGCCGAGCTTGGCCCCTGTTATTCCCCTCCTCCTCACATCGCAGCGGCTCCTCCTTTCGTCGCCGAACCCGCGGCCCTGTTGGTTGGTCGGTACACTCGCGCTGCTGGTGCCCCCCCTCGCCACCAGCCGCCGACCCATCTGCTACACTAGTCGGGCGCAACCGGAACAATCGCAGGCAGCCCTCGCAAGAGTCAATATACAAGAAAAAAAAACGAATACTCCAGTCTGCCGCCAAAGGAAAAGTCTTCAATATCCAACCACAACCGTATTCTCGGGAAGGCTTTCTGCGTTGTTGCGGTTGCCGCAAGCCCACGTTCAACGTGGCCACACACGACAGCTACGCGAAACAACCGACCAGGCGTGAAAATGCGGCGGCAATGCGAAAGAGGCATCAACGCATTTTCCACGGGGTACTATTGCTGCTGCGCATCGTTGCGTACCCCCCCACCCGCTCCTCTGATCATGGCATTGGTATGTATGTTGCAGCAAAATTGCAATCGATATTGGGTCGAACTGACATGTTTTTACAGCCGCCAAGAGAGCTACAGTGTCGTGTGATGCATACACGATACACACGCCGCTCCGTGGGGGGCGGGGCGGGGGGGGGGGACTCGAAGGTCGGGAAGCTACGAAGGCGTGCGGATGTACGAGAGTTGAAAGAAAACGCGTCGCGTGCGATCGTTGACACACGTATTGGCGCTCTCCCCGCCATGGTTGGTTGCGAAGGTACACCCCCCAGACAGCGCGTGATAGGGAAGGCCCTACGTTTTTTCTGAGAAATGTGCGGCGTCCGACAGATACAATGGGCGCTGTTTGTTGGTCGAAAGAGGTACGTAGTTGGCCGACAGGCTCAACCAATGGAACCTTGAATGTCCAAGACTGCTGTGTCCAAGGAACAAACGGTTGGAAAAACAAACAAACAATACCGAGGCTTGCTTTCAAAGCTGGCGAGTGATTTGTGGGTGTAGGGTGCAGGGATATTTACTCTGCATGCAATATTTTGCGCCAATACACACATGCACAGCATGGCACAAAAAATCAAAGCCTCTTCACCTGCTTACAGAAAACACCTATAATAGCTGTCGTAACACACCCTACAATATGAATACGAGAACATAAAGTATCTACGTCTACGTGGTACGCTACATACCATAATTTAGTTCATGAATACGTCTCGATCAGAGAACATAAAGTATTTACGTCTACGTGGTATGCTACATACCATAATTTAGTTCATGAATGCGTCTCGATCCGAGAACATAAAGTATCTACGTCTACGTGGTACATACCATAATTTAGTTCATGAATACGTCTCGATCACCGCTTCGACGCTCCCCGAACCCGGTCTGAACCGGAACCCGTTTCGATGACACTGCGGGTCCAAGCTCACAGCAGTAAAGTGGAATACTTGTACAGCTCTTACGCCTCACAGATACAAACTGCTCGCGGGACCTGCGGGCTCCGCTCCGTTCTTCGTTCTGTTCGGAAACAACAGCACACGATCACACACCCAATTTCTAAACTGATTACACCTCAAGGATTTGTCTAGCAACCAATGGTTGAACCTGCGTCTCAGCGTCTCAGCCCCCCAGACCAATCGTAGTTTGAGAGTGTCGACAATTGATCGCAACCCTTTCTCATGCAATCCCCCTCCACCCAGGGAATATTCTGGCATTTTCGGGGTGTTTCTCGGAGTAATTTTGCCTTTCAAAATGTCCCCAATCTGTCGTAACACGCTTCCATGTTATACTTACACTACACATAGACACATAGAAAGCCAGCGCCGTCATGAATAATAAATACCACTCGTTGCTTTCAACTGTCTTCCTCTCCAACTCTCTCAACAAAACCATTTGTAACAAGGACGATTGTCCTCCATGAATGAGAAAGACCATGGTGGTCTTGAGCACTGTTCCAAGAACCGACGCTTTTGCTCGAAACTTCAATATGTCTTCTTTTTTTTTTCATCTCTATCATAGAAAAGAGTTGCCTTTTTAGGCTAATGCACAACAAAGGGGCCCTGGGCGAGCTTTGGTCGCGCCCGCCTTTCAGTGCGTGCGCCACGTTGCAACGCGTTTCCACGGCGGTGGCCAATAAGCTGCAGCCAGTAGCTCCGACTACTGGTGCTGTAAGGTCTATGCGTCCGGCCGCGTATGTATGTACTGCTACAGCAAAAAAAAGAAATACTTGTATGGTCGGTCCGTTCGGGTCGATGTCGCAAGCCTTGTTCGCCACTACATCTGCCGTCTGTATCATATGTATGCATATCGTACGACACTTTGTCCCAAGCCGTCGTGCGTCGTGAGTGGTGCACCACACTCGTGAGCGAAAGCGCTACCGCTGGAGGCTTGGGTGTACACACGCTTGTCGAAGTTTTCTTGTGGTGGAAAAGGAAAACAGCAACAACATCCCTATACAATAGAGCCTGCTCTTGCTGCTGCGCTGCTGCAGCACGGGGTGGCAGTCCTGCTTGGAGATGTTTTTTGAACGAATATGTAGACAAAATTGAAAACACTCCACAGCTTCGAAGCGGATGGGATCTACATCGTAATCGTTGTCTACATATGGCCCCGTAATGGTGACGAGCGTATTGTACGTGTTGTTGCATTGAGCTGAGATATGAATATATGGTGAGAGACTTGCCAAAAGACCTACATCAGGTGTGTAAGTCTACATGACATGCATACATTGCATCCGCTGTCTACATCAAATTTTCACACCTGATCTGCGGCCGCGGGTGCTCAGCTCTCAGCTCTCCCCCTTAGCAATAGGACCAAGCTCACACCTCCACAAGGGATTTTCCTGTTGCTGCCTCTCCTTGTGACAATCTTTCTCTCTTTCTGTCTCTCAGGCCCCCTATCACATTACTCCGTCTGCAAGGAGGCACGGGCGGAGAGGGCACAGCAGTTGTGACAAGTTGTGAGCGGAGGGGGTTGCACACAGACAGGACACGTGGTTCGAGCGGTAGGGGATAGGGGTTGCTGCCACCATGAATCGCCGGAGCCTCTGCAGCAAAAGGTGGACTCGGCACTGCCCAGCCGTTGCTGGTGTGCTCGGCTGTGTGGCCAGTGTCGAAGAGCACCGTCTGCAAGAGGGTGAGAACTACTGTAGTTGTGTTTCAAGCGTCTCTTGAGCTCCAGTTCCCTCTCTGTCTCTGTGTGCTGTTCGGCACAACGCACCAACATCTTTCATCTTTCATGTTCGTTCAAATAATTGTACCGACTACTGCCGTACCTATGCATACATATTGTACAATATACAATGCGCGTCTTTGTTTCAACACACGCAACTGATGAAGTCACGATTCATCTGTCGACACAATTGCTCCAGCCCGCGCCAATACAATATATGAGCGTCGACTATCGAGGAGGACATGCCACTGGCGCACGCTCTCTCTTTGGCCGATGTAGTACGCTCACCATACATGTAGTCGAGCTTTGAAATTGGTCCACATGGGGTGCGGCATCTTAACAATTCGTACATTACTGTATACTACTGTATCACCGACGGTATGATGTACCATGGTTTTGCGCGACAGCATCTGGGTCGGTTCCGGTAATATCTGGTAGATAAGGGGGAGAGAAGTTGGTAGTCCAGCGCAATGCGCTGCACACAAATTCTTTTTCTATTGTATATTTACGCGCTCAATGTGAAGCCAAATATACGTTGTGCGATACCGGTGAGACAGATAACGTCAGGTAGCGTGTTTAGGCCTCACACATTACCAGGTGAGGAGGCGATACTATATATTTCACACGTCTTTTTGTCGTACGAAACGCTGTAGGAATGGCTTCTGATGTAGTCCTCGCCCCCAAACATGATGTTTAAGGGGACATGGAGGCTAAGGCCGAATACCCGGGGGGGGTCGAAAGCGGCTATTGTGTCCCGGACAGCAGTAAACCATCCGTTGTGTTTCTTGAATTGGCATTGACCAAACTACTATTGTACGTATGTAGTCGACTGGCCAATGAACAGATGGTATGTAGTGCGTGACTGTTTGTGGTTGTTGAATTATTTACTTCGACCGCTTAAACCGGCCATGCGATGAAAAGGCGCGTGCGCGCGTTTTCTAAGCATCGACCGCGCTAACCGGCTGGCCAATGAAAAGACGGCAATCTTAGCGGGGTAGCAAGCCCGAGCACGCGTTCTAATGAACAGTATTACCGACAGGGGGAGGGGGGGCGCAGGAGTTGGGCGGCCGTGCCCTGCTTCTGAAGTATAAGAAAAAGGAGAAGACTCGACACCTCCAAGTGTTGCTGCATCTTGTGCTTCTGCTTCTCCCGGGATACTAGCCGTAGTTTCGCTGCACTGGATTTCTTTCTATCCGACTTGGCTTTCCCGTCGGGGAGATGGGCCGTGTCGCCGACGTGTCTTGTGGTGTTGTTTGGAAGGGTTCTGCCGCGCATGAGTTGCGTTGACCACGACGTAGCACCCACTGTTTTGTCCTCGTCAATCTGTCAATCTCGATATGCAGCCAAGCACAAATGAGAGGGGGGGATCATGCTCTGGTGCTGGCGTGCGCGCTGGGTTTGGGGGGGATGGGAGTGCTCGGCAAGGGTATAGCTGCGGCAAAGACTTCCCAACTAGCCGTCCCCGCTGCTGAATCTGCTCGACCTCGAGGGAACCTTGGCAGCGAAAGAGGTAGGCAACCGAGTGCACATGCTTGCTTTCGAGGAAAAATCGCCGTTTTTTTTTTCCTCGTGGGGTACGCACGTGAAGAGAACAGCGCAGTGCTTCCGCAAGAGCCCGCGGTTGTGCAAGGTGTTGTGAAGGCAAGGAGGTCTGCATCCCCCCGAAATTGGTGCGGTCTGGTCGAGCACCACGTGTCAGCGGTAGAATTGTAGATCATACGCTGCCTCAAACGCAGCAGTGCGAAACGATCAGAGTATTGAAACTCCGCTGGTGATGCTTTCCTTGTATATGCATGCGTGAAACACATAATTTTCTTTGTATGTGAGCCTCGCTGTTTATGTGTCAATTTTGCTCCATGCCTTGTTGCAACTCTCGGCAGCAATGATAGCAGACTTAACCCTTTAAGCACCCAGTAGGTTAGAGGTTAAAAGTCCCAACAACAATCGCATGCGCTCGATTGGGAGAGACTACACAGTCCCGAGGGACGAAGGCTGACTTGGTTAGAGGCAGAAAAGTGTCCACAAGTGCATGGGGACGCTTTCAATACTGAAGCCAAGTCAGCACTTTTTTGTTTTTTTTCAGTTCTAGGCGGATGCAGCTTTTCCCAACAAGAGGGGCCCCGGCTTGGGAGACATGTGTACAGCAAGTTGGGGGCCGAGGAGCGACATCACACAGCCTACCACCTCGGGCAAGCATGGTAGACCAAGGTTTTCCACGCGCGTTTCACACTCTTGGCGAGCCAAACGACTCACGCGCGCGGCAACTCGTCTCGTTCACATCCTCTTGCATCCGGCCGTAGGACAAACTTCTTCTGCCTTCGCTTGTTTTTTTCTGACAGCTTGCGGCTGCGGCAGTGCTCGGCGCTTGCACCGGGCTTTCGCTTCGAGGGGGAGGCGTGCTGCGCTGGGGTTGCGGGGAGGGGCACCCGCGGTGTCGGACCGGTACAACGCGCGGATGCAAGTCATAATAACGAGGAACATGCGAAAGGTGTGTACCGAGTGAACACAAGGCCGTTGAACCTTACAATTTTGCACCACAAAATCAAGAAAATAAGGACATCGTGGAGTGGTTCATGGCAGAGAGCCCGCCGACGTCGCCTAAGAGAAGCAGCTGCGATCTGGCTGTGCAGTATCTGTGTAACCGCGAGGCGAACTGGTGTCTTTTGTACCTCTTTTTTTTTCTGTGCACCCGCCATGGGCAAGGGTGGGGAGCGTTACGGGCGTTTGTTTCCAAAGTTTTGGAATGTGTCCAGAGTAGGGGACCTTTGCGAAGCTAGTTCGAAGGCCAACACATTTGGGAATTTCCACAATCTGGAATCGAACGTTCCAATTTTTCTGGGCCCTGCGCACTCCTAATTTGTTAGAAAATTTTGCAAAGTTTTCGATTACTTTCAACTTTTGGGAAGTAGCATTACTTCCGTTTTTTGGGACTTGTGAGAATTGGAAAAATCAGCCCCGTTAGAGCCCTGCCAAAGGCCTCATCAGATACCCGTTACTGCACTCCCCCTAGGCGCTTTGGCTGGTACTGACTATCGACTTTGCCCGTGGAAATGGGGTTGACGACATCGGCAGCAGCGGATTGAATGATTGCTAAAACGCTACCTACCTCTGCTGACCTCTTTCAGAGGCAAGCGCTGCAGCCACCGGGACGACCCTTTATTTGTTCATCACTCCCGTGAAGTATTGGCTTTAACAACATGCGACATGGTCAAGGCTCCTAGTGTCCGGCGCCACCGTACCGCTGTTGCCGCTTCGCTGCAGTAACGATGACGACGGGAATGACTGCGAAGGTGACTCTTGGTGTCATGTCGATCCGTGTGCGTCCGTCGTCGCTGGTCAGGTTTTGATGGACGAGCTCGGCTATGCCGCGGATGAGGTGGACGACATGGACCCTCAGATAGCGGCGGTTGTGATCGAGAAGTCGCTGCCCAGGCCACGAGCAGGCGAGTCTACGTAGACCACTACTGTCGCCAGCTCCATCTGCTGCGTTCTTGACTGACTGAGTGTGTGTGTTCGTCCCATCTATTCTGGCGCCGGTCTACAGGCTTGTGGAGTGCCCCGGAAGATTCTCAAAGGATATTTTCGATAAAGAAAGGGTCTCAGCTTAACGATGGTTCACACTTCTGTGGCCTACGAGGCTGTGTCGCACGCGGTACATTCCGTCGTACGGACTCGTTCCCTTCAAGTCACGTTTGGGTTGGCTTCTCATCCAACGGTGTGTTGAGATACCGAAAGAGGCGGAGAGATGGCAACCCCCCTAGACTGACTTTCAAGGCTCGATTACTCCACGACCAAGATTGTGTGTACCGTACCGTATACCGTACCGTGGTATTCCTTAAGAGTCGGAGAGATGGCACGTCCCCTAGACCGATTTTCAAAGCTCGATTGCTCCACACCCAAGTGGGTGCGGAAAAGAACCCGATACGCCTACGGAAAGCCCTCGACGAGATGGTTCCAGAAACACCAAAGTTGGTGTTGGCACAAGCTCGTTTATGGAGCAACTGAGCTTTGAAAATCGGTCTTGTGCCATCTCTCCCGCCTCTTCGGGTGTGTACCCCGTGTTGCCCACCCGCACGGTCTTGAACCACACGAGCTCCGATCCGGGATCACACAGGAGAAAATGCGGCAAATGTCGAGGTTGGTGCTATCAATACCTGGGTACCTATGTAGATCATGCATTTAACCTCTTGCGACCTAGGGAAAATAAAGCGATACGTTTTGCTTGGTGGTTCTCAAAGTTCGAATATCGGGCACACCACATTTTCTTTGCGGTGTTTGTTTATCAATCGGCAGACAAGCTAGCTCCTGGTGTCGTGGCGATTCACTATACCGTTTTTCCGAGGCGTGAGACCCTTCTGGTGTACAGTAGGCGGCAACTGTTAAAAGAGCGTTGGGACAAGCCAACAACACTCTCTTGAATCTGGTTTTGTCTTGAACCGCACTGTGTAATATAGTAGTGTCACGATGGAGTGTGGCCGCTATTCAGAGCAGGTCGCTGAACCGAACTAACAATCGCATGACAGTTATACTACCGGGGTGCGGCGGTGTGATTTTGTGGTCGCTACATAATCAGGGAATGTCGCCAAACCGAGACCCCCACTGCATGTGTATTTCCCATGGTCGAGACCAACGAAAACAATCTCTCTGAACCGTAGCCGCCGCTGTGCCATCACTAGCCGCATGCCAAAGAGCTGGCCGCGTGTCGTCCACACCCAAAAAGCCCCCACGCCGCTGTGCCCCCAAAACGTCATCGTGGACTCAATCCGTCCTCTCCAGGCATGCCGATCGCGTGGCGGCGGAGCATCAGGCAGACGGGAAGCTCCTCCAACCCCGTCCAACTCCTCGCCGGAGCTGTCCTTGCCGCGGTAGGGGCCGTCGTAAACGGAGCCGTGGCGGTGTCGGCGTTCCCATTTGTTGCCGCGGGGAAAGGGATCGGGGCGGCGAAGGCGGGTGGGGTCAAGGGGGCCGCGGTGACGTTGCTGGCGTTGAGCGTGGTGACGGCGGTGCTCGTGACGTCGTCAGCGTTGGGTAAGCGTTGGCCGCAGCTTTTCTGGCCCTTGGCACGTGTGCGCGTGACTTTTGAGTATGTACGGTGGGTGGCCCGCTATAGTGCCGGTAAAATCTCTGGACACACACAGCGCCCTCAATAGTGCCGGACACCGGCACTATTGAGGGCGGACCCGCTATAGTGCCGGTAAAATTTCTGGACACACACAGTGCCCTCAATAGTGCCGGACACCGGCACTATTGAGGGCGGCCCCGCTATGGTGCCGGTTGGGCACCACGGCGCCCCGCAATAGTGCCGGTTCACTACACACACACACACACACGCCAGCTGACACACACAGAAGGGCGGAGAGACGCAACACAGAAAAAAGGGTACACGTGCTGCTGCAGACCCGAATAGCTCTACGCAGAGGCGCACCAGGGAGGGGATACGGCTGTAGTAAGTGGTTGGTTGTTTTTTGTCAGTGCCCTTCCTGTCGTGTTTCATTTTTTTTTGTTGTTGTTGTCTTTTTTTTACTTGCAACATCGAAGTAGGGCAAGTAGGGCTGCGATTTGACAAGTTGTACGAACGGGAGCTGTACAAGCATTTTGCCGTCAAAGGTCAACCGGGTACATGATCTGTGTCTTCCTTTCGCCGTCGACTAGTGCTGTTGAGCTTGACCGAAATGGTGTGATCCATTGAGGCCAATGCCACTGCTTTCTTGCCCACAGAAAATTAGGCAGCTGTTGGTGCATCTTGCTTGAAAATGGCAGAGCGGTACCACTGTACATAGTATGTTTATATTGAAGGGTTGGTTCGCGACATTTCAGGATGTGCAGTACGTGTGCTGATGTGGGAAGAAAATAACCGTGCAACATGCAACGCATATTTTTTGTCAACAAACTCGAATAGTGCTGAATCGGCACTATTGAGGTACTATTCCCAATAGTGCCGGTGCCCGCTATAGTGCCGATTTTATCTCTGGACACATATCGGCACTATACCGGGCCACCCACTGTGATCTTGTTCTGATCCAGAGGTGTGCTCCTTTTTTCCCGGCACGTGTGGGCCGGCTTGGTCGGTAGTTTGGTGCCGGCGTACTCATCTCAGTCAAGCAGGTTCGCTCGGCGACCGCCCTTGCACCTGTGGCAGGCCGTTGTTTGTTTTGGAGTTCAAGGCGCAACAGCCAACGAAGCGGCGTCCCTTCCTGACAAGACGTGCGCGTTCGCGCCGTGCGTGATGGTCAAGATGAGCGTGTGCATGCATACGGAGTACCACGTACCCCAACCGGTCGTCCACGGCCGGTTGGGTTGGGTAGCATAGTGTGCCTGGAGCCGTTCCATTTACCTCGATGCTATTCTAGCGCCACCGGGGACAGCCGGAGCGTGAGCAGAACACAGAGGGGTGCATAGATCGCCGGTAGCTCACAGGCGTGTGTAATTGCTCCATGCTCCGTGCTTTCTCACGAAGAGATAGCGTCGTCTGTGCGAGCTGTCACCGCTCCCGTTTCAGTTATTTTTTCTGCATCACCGCCCAACTGCTATCCCGTCCGCTTTGGCCGCCGTTTCCGAACCCCGGGCTGAAATACCACCAGGCGGGGATGCTGACGATAAATACCCCGGAGCGGCCTGCCTCCGATCGTTAGGCGAGAACGTTGCATCTGCAAAGGCCTTGGTGCTGTCGAGGGGAAAGGGCGGCGGCAGAACCAGCACAGACAGACTGGATGGTAGAAACGGCCGTGTTGTCACCTCTGGTGATACCGCGAAGACAACGGGAAGTGCTGCGGCACGGCGATGGTAAGCCTTTTTTCACGTTTTTAAATATATATATTTTGAGCCTTGATGCGGTGACGACTTTGTTTCGGCCAGATCAACTACTACGTGCGTGCGTGCGCGCACGCCGGTCACATTCCAACAACACAGAGGCACACACACACACACGTGCAACCTCCCCCCGCCGTGACTCCCCCTTGCGCCCCCCCAGATCATGGCCTACCATAGTCTACTCCAGCATATCGTAGGAGCCGTGCAAGACCTGATGTGGTCCACTCCCGTTCGGAAGAACTTTGTTCGTCGTGAAATGAGTTTTTTTTCCCTATACCCCTGTTGTCAATGCGTGCATGTTATCATTCATTGTGGACGTGAATTCTGAATCGTTCGGTATGTTTCTGGAAACATCAGCCGGGGGTCACGCTGGAGGAAAGGCATACAGGAGGATCTTGTTTTCTGACTCGGCCTTCCTTCTGCGGTGCTCACCTTGACTATTTTCTCCAACGTAGAAGGATTAAGCCGTCCGTTTCCCTCGTCGATGATAAGGCGATAGTGCGTTTTCCGTGCATGCGAGCTACGCTCACCCTAGTCATTCGGGCATTCAAGGCGCGCCTCCGGAGTGGACTCATCAGAGCATGGTAGTAGCAAATAGTGTCATCAAGGCATGATGCGGGATGAAGTAAGGCGTGTGTTGGTGTGAATCATCAGCTGCCAGCTGACGTCAGTGACGTTTCCCAAGCTCAAGGAGCTCACACAGCTGTCGTGCTTTCGACTCGAAGAGCCCAGCGAACTACAACGAACCAAAAGTACGAATTTACAAGTCTATGTGCAGCCTTAACGTCGGCCGGCCACTACTGCTGTCCCGAAACCACGATATGAGTCAAGCTTCGTGTTCCGCAAGGACTATTTTTTTGTTTTTCTATGTACTTTTGCAGCGAGGTCCGACTGGCAACTTTCCGTGGCCGTGCTCGTTAGTGGCGGATTGCGCGTGACCTCCTTCCATAATCACCACAGTACGGTGACATGGCACAAGATACCACCCCCCCCCTCTGGACTGATTTTCGAAGCTCCATTTCTCTACAGCGGAAAATAGTGAATGTGCCGAAAATGAAAAGTGGCGGCGTCGGAGCGGTCTCATCGACAGCTTTACGACAACTCATCGTTTCAAGTAGGCATCCTCTTCGACGTGAAGTAATCGAGCTATCCAGGGTGTGTGTTACATACTTCGTATGTCTCCTACGGAAGTACTTCTATTCTTGAGGCAGCAAGTGATTTTTCTTGTGCAGGCTCGGGGCCAGGAATAGCTCAAAGAAACCCGACGCCAGAAATACGCCAAAGGTTGGCGCGGAGTCTTCCTCCGCCGCCCAGAAGGAGGAAAGGCCTCACGCTACCGCTCCAAAGGGCAAGGGGGAATTTGTCGACGAGCAACACCGCGTGGGACAAGACAGGCGCAGGGGCCGCCAAGAAGAAACGCGCCGGCAGGAAGGGAACGGCGGAAATTTACCGGAACCTTCCGACAACGCTGCCGGTGAGGGTCTGCGGGGGGAGCGCTTGCCAGAGGGGTCGTCGGGGTCGGCGAGTAGCCGGAGGTCGAGGGGAGCGCCAGTGAAGCGCGGCAAGCCGAAAGGTGGTGAAGTCTACAAGAGTGAACCGCTCTTGGCAGCGGCAGTTGATGAAGGCAAAGAGGTTTCGCAAGGTGGGAGATAGATGGCAACGGGTGAGGGCACGCCGGCTGGCGTTTTTTGGTTTGAAGGTTATCTAGGGATCGTCCGTGTTTGTTGTTGTTATTGTTGTTGTTGTTTTGTTGCCGCGGATTTTGGTGACGTGCTTCTTCCTGTCGTTTTGTTATAGGAACTGCAGCTCGCTCCTCTATGTTCTTGTGGGGTGAAAGAAAAGACACTCCCGCAGATCCCGCGATTCAAGTCTTGGCTATGACGTCTTGCTGGGGTTTTTGGATTTCTTTTCCCTTTCGACGTTGCGAGCCCTCTTTTTCGAACCGATTCATTTTCTTCTTTCACATGATGATGCGCATTGAAATGGTCGGGCTTTTTTGTGTATTCCGACGAAGGGAGAAGGAGGAGGTGGCACTCTGCTCAAAGCCTGCGCCGGATGCCGTTTCCCAGATGCCCCGCCGGTAGGCCTGAACGCTGAGGGAGCTGTAACGTTCGATGAACTACCTCCGGCGCCGCCCGCGCCGGACACAATCGGCGTGCTCGATGAAAAAGAGAAGGAGTCCCCTTGGAATGAACCAGACCCCCCCCGGTGGGGACGGAGGCCTATGGTGGGTGCGAAAGTTGGTCCTTTTCGTTTTCAAAGTCTTGTCCAAGATGAAGTAGTAAATGCGGCAAATGCGGTGCAGTAGTACTTGCAACAGGTGGAACGGGGTCGAAATGAAAAAAAAAGTAGTCTTTCGTTGTTGCACCTAAGCTGCTCGGCGACTAGAGTTTGTTTCGTCAAGGGTGAGAGCCTAGACGCTGTTGCCTTCGTAGGCACGATCTTCGAAGGGCCCCGTCACGTCCTTGGCAAACTTAATTTGTTTCAGTACCTATTTGCAGCTCAAACGTCAGGTGTTTCCCGTCATCAAGCTGCCCAACAACGAGCGACAAGCTGGTTCTTTCCCGTTTTCCATGGATTATTTCTTGCACCGCCTTTTGCGTTCAAATCCTCGGCAAGCCATTCCGTTATACCCCTGGACCTTGCTTGCCAGTCTTCCTCTGAAAATTCCGTAGGCGTTGAGTAGAACAGAATAAGACAAGATGTACATGTATGCTCTTGATGTTAAGACACCTGTTGACGAAGAATGAAAATGCATCGGTATTGATGTGTTGTCCCGGCACCTGCTGACGAGCCACCAGGCCATTTTCACATACTGGTGTCTCGTGGTGTTTTTTAACCCTTTCTTGCCTTGCTACGACGCCGCCGCGGTTTTGTTGGGCAGCCCGAACACATCCCGACCGAAGAGGAGATGGAAGCGTGGGATACCAAAATGGCAGTGCCCGACACGTGGCTTGATCGGGCAATCAACGGCGTCATGGGGTCGTTGTTTGGCGGGGGTGACGACAAGGTCGACAGTGACTAGCCATGGAAGAGGTGTACCCACCCAGGGCATCTCGATTGCGGCTGCGAGGGATAGAAATATGCACAAAGTTTGAACTCATTTCAAGTCTTGAGTATGCGCATCAATCGAAGCTTGTCCTCCAGACAAGTCACGAGCGCACCTTCGCATCGGCGGGAGATGGCACTCAAAACGATTGCGTGTCGAGGTCAAGCTCGATTATCAATGGACTCAGTTACCTATCACGTGGCTGGGGCGGGGGGAGCATTTCACTCCAGATCAAGCGTTGTCGATTGGTTGGATGATACCTGACACCTCAAGCTCTCGTTTCAATCATCGCTGGGGGTTTGTGGTTTCATCGTACCGTGTGGCGGATTTCCGTATTCTTAAGCCGGCTGCTGCTGATTGGGGTGGGTCCTCATCGCCAGCAGCTTTCGATCGACCAACCGATAGCTCGAACAATTATGATTTTCCTGTGGCTGGGATGGGTAGGGGTCGATCGGGACAGGAGAGCGAACGAACCTTACACCTGTCCGTGGCGATGATAGGGAGATTTGTGTTTTCTGCTGCACTATCTCGGAATACGATCTGTGCACCGACTTGCAGGATGGCTCGAAGCAGAATAGGAGAACAACATCTACCGTGCGGAATTGAACAAACAGTAGTGGTACTTGCTCCGTGACAGATTCGAAACGAGTAATACCATGGATATATATTTTTTCGAAGAAGACTGGGCACGTAGAGGACCCGTGGCTGTGTGCATAGCCGCTTGGCAAAACGCGATTCGTTTTGCGTCCAATGACTTGACCAGTTTTGCAAGACTCGACTCGTTTTCTTCCAGGGACTTGAGGAGTTTTTGGTCAGGGGTGGCAGCCAAGGGGAACAATCCACCGTGCATGTGCCGAAATTGTGCCCATTTGTTGTTGGCGTGACCGTTTGTCAGGCGAAAAGTTGCAAAGGGTGAGGAAGTGAATGTTGCCTGTGTGCACCAGGTACTGCTCGGACGAGTTTATGATGCACGTGGACGGAATGCAGCAAGTAGACGCATCGGCATCTTCGGCAGGGGAAAATACCTCGATCTTGTGGAACGAGCCGTTTTCTTTTCCAGTTTCCATGTGTGCTTTCTCCAAAGCCTGGCACTTGTGATGCTATTTTTGTCCATGGCTCACTCGATCTTGGCGGAAAGAACCGCTTTCGCTGATGGTATCCCCGTTTCTCATGAACCTGACATTTATTTATGCTTTTGGATATGCATACGGCGCCCAACGGAACAGGCGATAAACAGCGATCGCTCCGAAACCGTTGTGGTAGTTGCCTGAACACGCTTTCGGGAAGGCCGGATTCTGCCTTGCACCTCTATGTCGAAGCATTCTTCACAGACTGTTGTACAATTTTAGCGCGCGAGTGAAAGGGAAAGATCCTTTGACCTTCTGCGCGCGAGGGACAGTCGGACTGGACGATAAACCAGGTGATGTGGACAAGATTTGAAACGAACGGCAGCAACAGCAGCCTGTGTGGGGTGTGTGCCTCGACACTCAATCGGACGGTCGAATAGTGTCTGCACAACTCCAAGGACGTCAGCTGCATCTCGGGTGGTAGTAGGGTACTGACCTTGTCCCATTTCTTCGGGCCGGCAGAGCTGGTTCACAACTGCAACAAGCAAGCCCTACCCTGGCTCGAAAGCAGACGAAAAATACGCGTGTCCCTACATGTAGTCTATGCCGGTAAATAGACAGATGGGTACCTGGAGACTGGTGGACGGACAAAAGGCTGAGGGCAGACGTGGCTGGCAGGAAACGAAAAGCGAGATGGTGACGCTTGTTTCCTGCCCGCAATCGCATCAAACATGAACAGAGAGCGTTGGCGAGGGAAGGGATTGTTACGACGGCTTGTCGATGGCTACTGGTGTAGGTCGGCGACGATAGAGGAGAAGACGAGTCCATCAGGCAGGGTCAATCGAGTAACAACACAGACAGCTCGTGATCATGCATAGTTTATTGATGCCACGTGTACGTGGTTGTTGGTGGGATGGATGAGCACGAACGCCAATCTCTTTATTATCAGACTTGATTCCGAAGCGAGACAACCACAACTACATACATTTGTATACATACATACATTGTATGTACATACATTGTATGTAATTAATGTTTTCAGTGTATACCTTGGTAAATAATAATCTCCACCTCCCGTTTTCTTTCGTCATCGGTATATATATATGTATTTTTTTTTGCATCGACCGCGCTAACTGGCTGACCAATGAAAATACGTCAGTCCCACTGCGGTCGGTTAAACACTTCTATATACGTGTAGCAAAAAATGCCATTATTACTGCGACCCCGTGAGGAGGCGGCAAGGGGAGGCTAAGCTATTCTCCAGATGAAAGACAGAAACGGCAGCAACAGAAGAAAACTGCACGGGTTTACCACAAGGCTGCTACCTTGCACTCGAGTGCGGTGCTTTCACCGTCGTCCTCCTTGATTTCACTACATACATACATGGTGTCGGGGAACTTGGTTTGTCGGTGTTGTGACCGTTTGACGCGGGGAAAAGGGCAAAGGGCACAGCAGGAGCACATCACTCGCGATCTTCGCAACAAGCAGCAAACACAGCACACTCAGCACCCAGCGCCCAGCACCCAGCACAGAGAGAAGAAGGAGGGGTGTGTGGGGCATGGAAGCAACACGTCCGCGCGCAGCTGCAGCATCCGTAGCAGCGAGAAGCGACAGCTTATCATGATCGCCAGACGCACACCAACGCACACAACAACAACAGGGGATGGCGCACTGACGCAGTGGCACTATGCATCACACTCTACTATAACTCTAGCAGCAGCTGCAGTTACCTGCTGTTGTTGAATATGGCGGTGTGGTGCGAACGGCTACAGTAGTGAAGACCAGACAGACAGATGCGAGCGTCGACTGTATTTGGCCGTTAGGCATTCTGTCGCAGTAGTAGCAGTATTGTCTAGACGGGATCTTCCACTGCACGCATCATCACAGGAGCGGATCTCAACGTAGCACCACCTCACTCTCTCTACATGTCTGTTGCTCGAATCACCCCTGGTACACTTGGCTGCCTCCTCTTGCCCGTGAAGACAACAACGGTGCAGCGGTGCAGGATGACTTTTTTCGTACACCCTTTCTTTTTTGTTCTTTTGTGACCCCTCCGAACAGTTTCTTCACCCCAGAAGAAAATATATTGTAAGACGTTCGAAGTGCTGGAAAAGTTGTTGCGTGTGGTCTGCCTGTCCGTGTAGAGAAAATAATTACTACCGACGATCGACCAACGGTATGTTGACGCACTGGCTGCGATTGTTCTGTGTTTCTTTCTCCGGGTTCGATTGCATTCCTGGTTACCTTTTTTTCCCCCTGGTACGCGTCTGTCTGTTCCAGGACTATTTATTGCGAGTCGAAATCCGTTTGACGTATGCATATAAGAACACAATGAGAGCAGGAACAATGACGTCCAACTGAATGAAGTACAACAACAGCAGTAGTTACAATAGGACGGAGTAAAAGCGACGGGTGGATGGGTTTAGATAGATGTAGGTGTGCAATGCACGCACGAGACCCCGCACGGTCACCGATAAATAAAGGGCCGCACGGCGTCTCATCTTTTTCCGTGTCAGCCCATGGCATGCCATGGCCGATCTCATGGGACTTTGGGAATATTGAACCCATGGTGCACCATGAGGAGACATGTGGAAATAAAACTGAAAACGAAATAAATTATGAAAATAAAAGTGAAGTATCGGACCCCCTCTATCTACAGAAAGAAGTCTGAGATAGATTAGCAATGAATCCATAGCGTCAGCGAAGTTTAAAATGTTTGCAGCACGATCTCAAACATGACGTATGCAGAGGATGTACATACAGTAGTCTGCATAGAGTCTATTTCCTCAATCAAACATCGATTTCCTTCTTTCCAACAACTGCTGCTACTGCTGGAGACTACATGCAAGTATGAATCAATAGTAGTCTAGATGTCCAACTCGTCTTCAATAGTCCCGTGCAGCGGGTGCCTCGGAGAGCATGCGGGTTTCTACAATAATATCTACTGAACTGTATGTATGCAATATATGTACAAGGACATCATTTCGTCGGTGGTGTTCGTTCGTGTTTTTTTCCGAACGGAACCACATAGAGAGAGAGAGAGAGAGAGAGAGAGAGAATAAAACAAAGGAAGGAACAAATAATTAGAAGCCGACCCGCCTGCTGACGAGATTCATCTCGCAAAGAAGTTCTAGTAGAATGATTGTATCCTCCAGGGTTGCCAGGGAAGAAGAAGAAGTTGAAGATCTAAGGTCCTACGCCCACAGGCGGAGCAAGATTGAACGCGGAGTTTTTGCCGCGCCCACATCCTCGCAGCCATCACCGCCCCCCATCATCACTCCTTCTCCTCCTCTCCTCTAACCCGGCAACAACACAGCAGCAACAGGAGCACTGATCCACTGCGAAGGTACGATCTCAACAACTCGGGGAACGAGCATGTTGACTAGCCTGTACCCGTCCAGCAAAATGTGCGTGTGTGTAGGTTACAATTTCATGGGTCCCGTGCTGTCGGAGAAAGGAGTCAGATCTTGTTTCGGTGGGAGACAGCAGTTGGTTTGCAATCGCTGCACTTGGATGGGATATTTACATGGAGTGACCGTTGTTCTCCCGTAGTTTCGGGTCGAGGCCGAGCAAACATAACGAACGGAAGCCTGCATGGCCTGCAGCGATCTGTCTGTCCGGTATCATGTGTGTATCGATGGCGCTCGCTCCTGGGAGTTGTGGCTGTTTAAAAAGGCAAGGCAAATCTGAACGGATTTCTTGCGAGAAACTGATGCCCGTCCATGTTCTAGTGCAGACGACATCAGGGTGACGACATTTTATGTTGCGTGTACAGCAAGGTACCATATCTAGAGAGCACACGGTATAGGACTCGCCAATGCAAGTAGTAAGCTGAACCTTAGCCAACGCACCGTTCGAAACGGGAGGCTTCTTGTTTGGTTCCCTAGGTATGAAGCAGAGGTCATGTGCATGCATTCGAGGTTCAAAATCGGAAAAAAATGCAAAAAAAAACTTCCCCAGCAACCGATTCTGACCCGGCACGAACACAGCTGTTCACCAAACGAGCCTGGACGGGTGCACGGCGAAAAGAGGAACATTACGGAGAGGGCGAAGATGTTGTAGCAAGACAGGGGAAGTGCACAGAAGGACCCACGTTGTTTTTGGCCACAAAAGGGCATGGACGCACGACGATATGTACCTCCCATAATGAAAAGAATGCCGTCGGCATAGTCTGTTCCCCGCCTGCATATTTGGAAAATCAGAAACCACGAAAGTTTACTACAAGCAGTCGTGAAGGGTCGATTAGACACGTATTTTCTCCCCAAGTATGCCGAGGCGGATTCGCGGACTTTTAGCTCGAACCTTTCCCTGAAATCTCACGGCGAACCCCGAACGGGACAACTTGAAAACAATCTGCCAGCTGCGCATTTCGACAAACAACGACGAACGATGGCGTCAGATTTTGTTGATTTTTCCCCCTCAGTACAGGATACGACAAATTAATCTCGAGACACAAGTCGGGGATTGACTACTAGCAATGATCCATAGTGTGCACGTCGACCAAGTTGTAAGTCTACGTTTCCCCGAACAGCACGTAGTGATATCGCCCCTGTTGGTGGTAACAGTTCGGTAGCCATCACGTGTGTCTGACGTCTGACGAGACAAGAAAACATTTCGGAATGTCCGATCTTCCACCTTTCGCTTCGACGATTCATTTCATTTCGTGATTTGCTTTTTTTCCCTCGCATGCCTTCGTTTGATCTCTTCATGTCATGTCGCCCGCGACTCCTGACAATTTGGACCTTTTGTTCATGGTGTGGTGTTGTTTCTGATTCAGTGCAGTTCTTCGCGGAAAAAAATGTACGTCCATCGTTTTAAGGGTGTCGTGAGTAGCCTTTTGTGACCACGCAAGGCGGCGGGTTTAGTTCTTCATTTCGAATCAGCGCTCACAGCACTAGTGCCGTTTACCTACCCGTGATGTTTCTGATTCTAGTTCTTCGCGAAGAAAACCAAGTGTACTCCCATCGTTCTAAGGGTGTCGTCAGTAGCCTTTTGTGACCACGCAGGGCGACGGGTTTAGTTGTTTGTGCCGTATGCCCCCCCCCCCTGTTTCAACCGTTGGTTAGTCTACGGGGTACCTCTCTGTATCTTTTGCGCCTGTCTCAAAGTCGTTTCACGAAAAAGATGTGTGCCATACATCATTTACGAAGGACATTTGTTTTCATTATTTGAAAAGACACCTGCTTTTGCTCCGCTGAAGAACGTGACCGGCATGCGCTGCGTCTGTGAGATCCCGCTCCACGATTTGTTCACCCTGATGCCGCGCCCTTACAACGGTCCCGTGAAAACCCTCCTTATTCGTCGTTTGTTGTCGATGTGTGACATTCACAGGAAATCAAGCAACCTTCGCCAAGATGAAGACATCATCAACATTTGCGCTGCTCCTACCTCTGCTGTACATCGCCAGCGTCCAAGCTGACAGTGAGAGCATTGCAATTTGATGGCAGCAGGAGATAAAGACGTAAAACCATTAACGAACATGTTTTTTATCGTTAATCGGCACCGAGACTCTCAATATGGCGATATCGAATGCAACAAAGGTCCCCCGCGTGATGCATATCGCGCCGCGCCGGACGTGGGAGATGAAACGACAGAAGAAAGACAAGCGTCGACCCCTTCGCTCTCATTAAAACACCTACAAAAGTCCGTCTTGAGAAGGGCTTCATTAAAACACCTACAGAAGTCCGTCTTGAGAAGGGCTTCCTCGTTGCTTTCTAACCCACCAACCCATGCCCCTGCCCGTCCTCTGGCGAACGTTGTTACCGGCTCCTGATATCTGTGACGTAGACTGTGAGGCGTCAGGTCTTTATTGTCCGTGCGATCTCACGAACGACCAGTGCAAAGGAATCTTCGTGTGTTGCGATCAAGTCGATCCGCCCGAGTGCAGGAATCCCAATGCTGCACCAGGGGCAGCGGCCGCCTGCGGTAAGTTGCATCGATCTGATGGCGTGCGGATTGCATCGATGCGATGTCGTGCGGAAGCTGCATTCAAACATGCAGCAACATTTGGTCTGTAATTGAATTGCTTCGACATTTATTTGTTGTTGGCTAAATTTGGGTTTTTGTCCGGTGAAATTTCACGTGGCGCTCTTGTGTTCAGCTGTTGATGGTAAATCTGTTTTTGATTCCGTATCGCCACTTCTAACAAAAACTACCTTGGTCACGAGCAAGTCCTAAGTCTTAAGTCCGAAAGAATAAACGTGTGTGGGGCGCTTCAGCAGCAGGCCGTCACTTACACAGTAGGGTGTGTTCTTGTACCCCCCTCCCACGAAACTGTGTGTAGGGGACCCGCACATGACCGGCTTCCTTGGCCAGAAGTTTGATTTCACGGGAGAGGACGGTGGCTACTACGCCGTCATCAGTGACTTCCCGAACTTGCACATCAACATGGTGAGCCCCGAAGTATCCACGTGTAAATGGAGGCGAATGACGTCAGGGAAGGAATAGCGGGCAAATATGGCGCTCGCTAGTGAAGTATAACGGTATGTATGACGGTATGACGATGCTTGAGTCATCCTGCGTGGCATTGGGTGGGGGTAGCAACTCGAACGTTTGATCTGGTGCGTGGACTTGGTGTGCATGCAGTGGTAAAGCCCTCGCGATGCGAGGTGTCGTTACGTCATCGCGCGATTTCCTTTGATTTTTCTTTGGGAACTGCTTGCTGTGAGTCGTCATGCGAGGTTGCCTCGTGGCGCGATGGCCTCAAAGTTTGACTCTTGTTAACCGGAACCCGACCAACCCTTACACCCGAAGCCCGACCGTGAGGCATTGCCGCAACCAACACCCAACGGTTCTACTTGTCCCCCCTTTTGTCTCGCTAGCGCGTCACGAGCCCGGTCCCCTCTTTGCCGGAGATCACATACATCACCGGGCTGTCTCTTCTGACCACCGACGCGGGCGGAGAGATCCACAGCGTCGTCATCGAGGTCAAGAACCCGCACGACATCGAGAGCGCCTGCCCCACCGGGGTGTCCCCCTGCCTCGCCGACGGATCCCTGAGGGTAATGCTCGATGGGAAGGAGGAGCTGTCCGCCCCGGGCTCCGTCGCTCTCGCCGATGACGTCATCGTGACGGCGGCCAACCTCCCGGGGGCGTGCCGTTCGTTCGGGTTCGAGCACTACTGGGAGCGCAAGAAGCTCCAGAATGCCCTCCACGGCCGTCACCTCGGCGAGCAGAGCATGGGAGACTGGTTGCTCGGGGTGAGAAACCGGAGTTGCATGATGGATCCTCAACTGTGCGTGGGAAATGCGTTGCGGGATGGGGTGTGCACGTCGTGCTTGCACGTAATGCTCTTGTTGGGTTGTTCGACACAGGAGTTGCCCATCATTTTCGATGCATTTTTCATATAGGCTATTCACCACACGCAGCGACTCGGAGCGTTGTCGTTTGATGATGTACTTGTCATGATGCATTTTCTCTGTATTGTTGTTGGTTGTGCGTTTGTCCCAGGACCCCACGGCTACCAACATGGACGAGTGCACGGACTACGTTTCGCAAGCCGAGGGGCAGGCCGGGGGCCTTTTTGCCCACCAGTCCGAGCACGCCTCGTTCCAGATCGTGACCCCCACGGCCACGGTTCGCCTGAGCCACGGTCGCCTCCACCAGATTGCGACCCGCGACCCCACTGACCGGTTCGACCTCCCCGATCACACGACCTGGCAGATGAACTTGGGCGTCGACCACGACGAGGTAGGCTCCACAAATGACTCCAAAACGTTACAGTTCGATGGAATAAAACTGTTGGTACACGAAAGGAATACGATTTCTACCCTGTTGCCTTCTCCACCGGTCCTTTCATCCCCTCCCGCATTAAACACCCCTCTTGATCCATCCGTCTTCGCAGGTAAGCTACTCCGCTACCGGGATCCTCGGTGAGACCTCCACCCCGACCAAGGACGCCAACGGCGAGGACATCATGACCGGCATGGAGGCCATCCGCGGGTCCGCGGAAGACTGTAAGTCTCAGATAGCACGTTGTTGTCGCCGTTGCTAGCGATGTAACGTCGTGTCTATCCTGACTGATTTGTTCATGGGTCGCAATTATCCATGTGGTACGAACCTTTTCGTACGCTGTGAAATTGTCTCGGGAGTCTCCGGAGAAGCTCTCTGGGGTTGTCTCTGAAGAAACTTGCCGTATTTCTCTGAAGAAACTTGCCGTATTTCGTTCGTTGTCGAACATCGCGGAAAAATGGAAAGTTAACATCAAACAACCCGAACCACCCCTCCCACGCTTTCGCCGAACACGCACAAATCTTGTGACGTTTGGATATTTTTCAATATCTCGCAGACCGCGTCACGGGCCCCCTGGATGTTACCTTCGCCATGGACACAATCGAGCTCTAACGTCACGGCGAGGACACCAGGATGCAGTCATGGGTGTAGGTGGTTCTCCTTCGTTGAACCCACCGGTGCCAGGCCCACAGCCGTGGACCCAAAACATTTTGTTCAGTAGGATTTTCGTCTTGATGCCTTTCAGGTGGATGCAGTAGATCTTGGATGGCGACGGGTTCGCCATGTATGAGACGTGTTGGTAAGTCCAGGGACTTTCAATCGGATCGGGTGCTTCGTTTTAATCAGATCGGGTGCTTAGTTTCTTCTATTACGCTCCGTAGCAAAAGGCACGCATACACACAAAATCACTCACTCATTTGGGGAAACCGTGGACCGGCAAAACGGTCTGACAAATACTTTCCGCGTAGAAAGTTCACATGGCAACTTTGTGGGATACGTTGTCGGCTTCGTAGGTTTTGCTTAACGTAGGTGTGCAAGGATCTCGTCGTCGATACGTTGTCGGCTTTGTAGGTTTTGCTTAAGCGTAGGTGTCCGATTGTGTCGATTATATCGTCGTGTTCATTGCTCTAAGTCGGGTGAGGTTGACTGTTTTCGGCACAGGTCTCGTTGTTTCCACGCACTTCTCGCCCTGCTAGTTAGAGCGAGAGGTCCACGTTTTGACATGCGTTTTGACATGGGTTCGAGACGTGATGACATTTTCGACAGGGGTATCACGTCTTGACACGGGCGGTTCCGTTCTTGCGTGCTTCTTCAAATGAGTATCCAACTTATCTCGTGGAATGATTTTTCTTTCGATTTTGATATCCAGTCGTGTTGCACAACATAGCTGGCCTGTAGTTGCTAGTTGTAGTCGGAAGATCGCTGGAGAACCTGTACTATTGTATTGAGACTATTTGGAATGATTTTATTTTCGACATGAATTGTGTCGCACGGGGTTGTTTGACATTGGAGCCAGCTCGGGCGGACGACACCAACTCGCCGGCGAACAATCAGACGCGATGTCCGAAAGCACCTGAGACGTGGAATCAGCGAATGAATGAATGAATTTTGAGCAAGAGGCCAATATTTCATTCTGTCGTTTTTGATTGGGTGCAGAATTGGTTCGCCAGGCTCTGTCTGCGCGGAACGCGCCCCCGGAGTATATATGGAGCCAGTTTTCGCATCTTTGATCGTCAACCACACGCGCTCCGGGCATGAGCGTTAATGTACCGACGAGCCTCCTGCGTGCCCCTGAGAAGGAATCGCAAAACAAGAAGACTCGATGCATCGAGAGAAAGAAGAGCCGAAGCATGAAAATGACATGGGGGGGGATAAAAACCTTGGCATCCCCTATCTTTTTTTTTTCGGTGTGTCTAAATCCCCCCCCGGGGGGGGATTATCGTAAATCCCCCCCCGTCTGTATCTCCGCCCACGAGGCACCAATCGAGCCAGGACACGCACAGCATTAGTGTCTAAATCCCCCCCCGTCTGTATCTCCGCCCACGAGGCATCAATCGAGCCAGGTCACGCACGGCTGTGTTGCTGTGATGTAGGGCTATCACGAGATTCCTCGCACAGCGGAAGCGGTGCAGGTTCGGTGCACCCATGGTTGATGGGCAAAACATATCTGTTGTCCCAACCTGTCCGCCGGGGGGGGATTAGTGTCTAAATCCCCCCCCGTCTGTATCTCCGCCCACGAGGCACCAATCGAGCCACGACATGCACGGCTGTGTTGCCGTGATGTAGGGCTATAGCGAGATACCTCGTACAGTGGAACGGGTGCAGGTTTAGTGCAGCCATATGGCTGATGGTCAAAGTATATCTGTTGCCTCAACCTGCCCCCCGGGGGGGGATTAGTGTCTAAATCCCCCCCCGTCTGTATCTCCGCCCACGAGGCACCAATCGAGCCAGGACACGCAAGGCTGTGTTGCCGTGATGTAGGGCTATAGCGAGATACCTCGTACAGTGGAAGGGGTGCAGGTTTAGTGCAGCCATATGGCTGATGGTCAAAGTATATCTGTTGCCTCAACCTGCCCCCCGGGGGGGGATTAGTGTCTAAATCCCCCCCCGTCTGTTTCTCCGCCCCCAGGGCACCAATCGACTGACGAACACCGGTAGAAGTGTGTGAAAACATGCACGTACAGCGCACAGCAGCGGGCAGCAGGTGAGGCGACCATCACATCAAGTATTCCTGCCCACAGTTTTACACACACCCAGTGGGATGCGAACACCGCCGTCTCACTGGTGGGGTACATTTTAGCCTTGTTTACCCCCCCCAGCGGTATGTCGTCACACAAGACTTCAGTCGACACAGGACATGTCAACTGTGTTTCTTCGATGTAGGACTACCGTCCACCGTATGACCCATCGTTAGCCCAAACGACGTAGCCCGAAGGGTTCCGTTCAGGTGGTAACACCGCCGGTGGGGTAAACTACGGATGTGCTCCTGCAGGGGGAGGGGGGGGGGTATGTCTAATACCCCACCATGAACCTCGCACCTCTGTACAAGGCTCTGATGGCCGCACAAGACCCGAGGTAGAAGTGTAAAAGATGAAGAACGCACAACACACAGCACGCAGCAGCACTGCACCCATGCTGTGATCGCTATGTCTATACATTGTACCGTGCCCATATGTAACGTTCCTCACATCAGGGATTGATAACTCATTCGTTTGGTGTCGCTCTCCAAAAAGAAACAACGAAGAAAAAACAACGACAACGCAAATACTCGCAAACGATCGAAAACAATCCCAAACATGTTGAGACATAGGTGATGAACGTATGTTCGCCGCCACCAACGTGTTGCCTCCCGGTCGTCAATGCGACGTGAAAGTCAGACTAAGGTACACACGCAAGGGCAGCTGGTTAGGTGCTGGTATCAGCACCTTTCAGCTTTCTCCTCTTGTTCGTCCGTGGCACGTCGCTGAAGTCCTTCATTCTCCTAGTCTGACGGGATTTTCCTCTCTGGCCCGCAGGGTTGCCAGCTCCCTCTTTGCCGTCCTTCTTAGGTCTCCCTTTCTTGGGTGCTTGCCCAGGATTTTGGGCTCCTCCTGCCTCCACAGACGGGGGGGGGATTTAGACACTAATCCCCCCCCGGGGGGCAGGTTGGGACAACAGATATATTTTGCCCATCAGCCATGGCTGCACTAAACCTGCACGGTTTCCGCTGTACGAAGTATGTCGTGATAGCCCTACATCACGGCAACACAGCCGTGCGTGTCTTGGCTCGATTGGTGTCTCGTGGGCGGAGATACAGACGGGGGGGGATTTAGTCACTAATCCCCCCCCGGGGGGCAGGTTGGGACAACAGATATATTTTGCCCATCAGCCATGGCTGCACCAAACCTGCACCGTTTCA